GATGTGTCTCGCTGTGCGGCCTCACGGCCTTGGGGGGCCCTTCGCAGCACCTCCTGACAGAGCTGTGAGGCGGTGCACTAAGTTGCAAGGCGGTTTCATTCAAGCCTCCACAAGGCATCGACGCTGACAGGTAACGGCAGTGTTTGGGGGGCAGGGCCAAGAGCAGGCCGGTCTGTGGTCGTGGCTGGTCACGGCCTCACAAGGGCACACAGGTAAAACCGCAGCCACCCAGCGCTAGCCACGAAGCCGCCACTTTCCCTGCCGAGGAAAAAGTGCAGGCTCGTGGGGGCTCCCTTCTCCCTCGCCCGGACACGGCGCCGGCTCCCCGGGCGTGGAATTGTCAGGAGTGCACGGCTTCTGGAGCAAACTGAGGGGTGGAGAGCGATCCCGAGGTGGAGGAGCTGGGAAGGTCCCCACAGGGTACGCGGGAGTGACGCCAGAGGGACGCAGCCAGCTGTCCGGGCCACCGCGTGCCCAGGGGCCTCGGCGACAACCTGCTCGGCCGAGGGTGGTGGGAGAGCGCCACGGGGGCGGGGGGATAGGGGACGGAGGGAGATGACGAGGGGCGCGGGTGCAAAAGCACCCTGGGGTGGCCTTGAAGACGGAGGACCAGGCCGGGACCTGGGAGGCAGGGGAGTGCGCGAGGCAAGAAAGGTTCCTTCTGCAGCTCCCAGCTTGTTTCCGTCAAAGATGGCCAAATCCCACGCCGCCCTCCCCCTCGGCGCCTCCTCCAACCCCTCGGCTGCTCCGGGGCGGCGGGCGGCGCCGGGGAGGTCCGGGTGAGTGAGCGCGGGGAGGAGGTGCGGGAACGCAGGGCCCGCCCTCCTCCGGGAGGTTCTTTCAGCGGCGGGCGAAGGCTCTGCCGCTTTAAGGTGAGCATGTGGGCGTCACCTCTGGCCCGGTGACGAACCGGGAGGGGACCCGGTGGGCGTGCCCACGCGAGCCGGGGGGTGGGGCCGCGCCGCGGTAACTGTCGGAGTGAGGGGCGGGGCCGAAGAGGCGAGGCTCCTGGGGGCGGGGCCTCTCCGGGAAGGCGGGGGAGGGAAGGGGAGGAGGAAGCGGCCGGGTTGGTACCATCGCGCGCGTTCCGGGAGGGGAGCGGGCCCTTCCCGGCGGCGGGGCCGGGCGCTGAGGCGGGGAGGGCGGGCCCCATTTCGCCGCCGGGCGGGCCGTCGGGGCCGGGGTGGGTGGGGGGGAGAGGAGGGGGCGCCGCTCCGCTCGCGTTCGAGGCGGGGCCGCTGTACCTTTGGTGGCGCGGTGCGGCTGGGGGAGGGCCGAGGGGAGGGAGAAGGGGCGGGCCCGGGAGTGGGGGGAGCCGGAAAGGGGGAGGCGCCGGCGGACAATGGAGCCTATGTGTGCCTGCGGGAGTGGGACGGCGCCGCCGCCGCCGCCGCCGCCGCCGGGGGGAGACGCTGCGCCGCCGCTGCCGCTGGCCCCGGCCCCGGCCCCCCGGGGCTGAGAGCCGCCCTGCACCGAGGCCCCCCTTCCCTAACTCCGCTCCTCGCCCCTCCCCCACTCGTGCCTTGGAGGTAAGTGGCACCTGGGGGAGGGGGAGGGGAAGGAGCGGAGGTGGGGGTTAGTGGATGGGGGGGGCCGGGTCGGCGTCCGCGTGTTTTGAGCTGGTTTGGGGGCAGGGGCAGCCACAGCCGCCGAGGGCCGTGGGGGAGGGTAGGGGCGGGGGTCGCGGTTGCGGATTTCGGGAGTTGAGTCTGGAGGGATCCGGGGTGTGTATGTGTGTGAGGGGGGAGGTGGGGTCCCTGGCGAGCGGTGGGGAGAGATGGTGGCATCTCTCGAGATTTGGGAGGTTGTGTCCCAAGCAGAGCCTGGAGAGGTTAAATGAGGAGAGGGGACAAGTCCGGGTCCTGGGGTGGCAGGGGCGTTGCAGAGGCGAAATGGAGCGCTCCATCGGGGAATTCGGATTGAGTTTGGTGGGAGCTGTGAGACCCCAGACGGCGATCGCCAAGAGAGGTGGAGGGGACTTTGCAGGCCAGTGACTTGTTGAAGGGTGGGGGGAGGTGAAGGCTAAGAATGTGCGGGTAGTACAGGGCTCCAGCAGGTGAGTGGTGGTGGAGTGTAGGTCATTGAGCCATTGTGGGGGTCGTGGGACACGCCAGTGGTTTTCAAAGTGGGGCCTTTGAAAGTTGGGAAAGACTATTAAGATGTCACTGGTGAGTGCCCCGTGAAATGGAGATGTCTTGTGGAGAAGCAGCAGCAGGCTTCGTTATCGGGTCCAGAGAAAAGCCAGGGAAAGACCACAGGCCTCTAGACTGGGGACCTGATGGTGAAGGCTGCCGGGCATGGACGAGGAGGAGGCCTGGAGGCTGCTCTCGGCACCCTGGCCTGCAGGAGGGAAGAACAGGGAAGAACAGGCTTCCAGAGATTCCTGAGACTTAGACCTCCATTGGAATTCTCTTTGGAGGGGTGGCTCATCAGGTTAGTAGATAAGGTGCAGAAATGGACCCAACTGGGAGGGGAGAGAATTTCTAGGGTGGGATGGAATTGACAGCAAAGTTGGCCTGTGGTTAACGCAAAAAGGTAGGTAAGTCTCTGGCAGTGATTTCACAGGAGAGCTGGTAGCTTTGGAAAGAGTGACAGGTTGGTCAATGGTGTGTGCTGGGGGATAGCGCTCGATATATTCAGACATCAGGGGTTCTTGGGACAGAGATTTGGGCTTCTGTGTGCCTGATGACATAGTTGAGAGCGGGGAGGAGGGAGGCAGGAGGATATTGAAGGCGAGACTCCCTGGTGTGAGCTAAGAACCTGTGACTGAGACATTGTGCAACATGATCATCCTGTTGCTTCTGGTTTTTTTTTTTTTTTTGACTGGATGCTAGTGATTGAGAAGTTTTAGTAAGAGGGAAATGTTTGTGTGAGTAGCATAGTCTTCAACTGAAAAAGACTCAAAAACCATTACCACAGAGATGTGTTCCTGAGAGCGGCTCTTGTTAAATGTGCGGGATGCTTTGAGGAATGAGGGTTGTTGGATGGTTTGATAAGAAGGGGACATTTAAAATTGACAAAACTTGAGAAAGGTGGGGAGTGTAACAGTGTAGTTTTTTGAGGTAGTGTTTTGGTACTGCACCATCAGAATGCCATTTTGTTTGTATTGAATGTAAGATGACAGTGGCATCAGAGGGTAAGTAGGTAGACGTGGGAGTCATTGGCCAAAAGATGAAAGAGCAGTTCCATGTAGTTCTCTTTTTGTAAGACAAGTGGTATGTGTCCCAGCTCTTGAGAGCATTCCTGACCTGGATTCTGAGATTACTATAAGTAAAAATACTTACATATGTAAGTTTGTATTATGCATATGAGTTTATTCTATGATGTAGTTTCCCCATAGCCTTCAGAAATGCCTACTTCTGTGAATTGAGAGACTGCTGTCTGGCTTATAGAAACAAAAGTAGGTAACAGGTTTCACAAGTATGATTGTTGATCATGATGATTTTTGTACGGTGGTTACAGCCTTGAACCTGCAGTCAGGAAGTTAGCTCTGCCACTGACTTTGAACAGATGTGTCATTATTCTCCAGGTGTCTGGTCCACTGAGTGGCAGTGTCACCTGCCGTAAGCTCTTGCAACTGCGTTGCAGCCCAGCATGTGAATGCCTGTCCGCATCATGCTTTGAACACCTTTGAGACTGGGAGCTTATGTAGCCCAACTTTTTCCTTTAAAAACCTTTCTTCCCAGCAGATGAAATTCAACTTGTGTAACAATTATAGCAACTTTGTGAAGAAGGAATAAAAAGTATTTTGTGTATCAATCTGTTCTTTTGTCTAGGCTTGGGTTTTACATTAGTTTTAAAAGGTACTATCGCTTTGCATTTAGTAGCAAAGACAGTTGTAGAAATATATACAAAGGTCATCATGGAAGAGTAAGAAGATTTTAAAAAAATTGTTGAAGATTTATTTATTGGAAGGGTGGATTTTCAGATAGAAAGAGACATCATCCATCTGTTGGTTCACTCCCTAAAGGGCTGCAGCAGCCAGGACTGGGCAAGGAGCCAGGAGCTTCATCTAGGTGTCCCACGTGGTTGCAGGGTCGCAAGTATTTGGGCCATCCGCCATTCCTTTCCCAGGTGCATTAGAAGGGAGTTTGAAAGTGGAGCAGGTAGGACTTGAACCGATGCTCATATGGGACGCCGCTGACCAGGGGTTCTAAGCCTTTTATAGTCCCCATATATCTCTAACAGCCTAGTAAAGTTTAGACTCCTTGTGAAGATATTTTTTAAGTCCATAAAATTAAGTATGTATGATTACAAATGAAATGGAAAGTTATCAAGATGCTAATTGTGAGATAGTAATATATGTGCTTCTTTATAACACATTAAATAATAAACTGTAGGTGCAGGTATAATGATCCTGTAATTTAGGAGTGATGAGTGTGCTGACAGTGTTAGCTGTGACAACTGCAAATGAATGTGAAGATGTGGTTTCTATTGGCAACATAGTCACAGGCTCAGGAATACTTTCATGGGTTGTTATCTTCATTCACAATTGAAGGCCATGTTAACTTAGATAAGTTAGTCAAAATAAAGATACAAATTTATTTTCTCAGCAAGTTCACAGACAGCACCACCCTCAACAGTACATATAGACTCAATGGTGGTACATTTCAGCATCTCTACCATGCTTAGTGACAGGGACATAGAGAAGACAGGAAACGAAAAAATCTATGTTGCAATCATAGTGGCTATTCTCTGTGATGGAAAAGGTTAAAAACAGTGATTAAATGAAGCTTCTGTGTCTGGTGGATCTTGTTTTCCTGAACCTCCCTATCCCCCGTAACCATGTGGGTCATCCCCATCCGATGGATTTGGACTGCAGTGTCCCTGTCTCTGACTTCTTACATTTTGAGGTTTAGTGGTTTGTTGCCTTCCTTCCTCATTTTTGACCTAGTTATTTTCTTACTAGTTCTTTGAAATATTGCATTAGCTACAGAGCATTAGGGACTGGATGATTTCCTTTGAATTTTGGTGTGAACTTTTTCTTCTTGTCCCTGTAGGAATGAATGTGGGACTAGCTGGTCACTCTACTCTGACCTAAAAGCTTCCTTCTGTTTGGGTGGCCAAGATCAGTGTTGGAAAGTGCTTCTGTGTCTCGATGTAGAGGAGAGAGCAAATTGGACATCTGGAGAGGTAAAGAGCAGGATGATAAGCCCATGACCTTGGTCATTCAACCTCGGCATGTTGGATTTTTGTTTCTATAGGGTCTCTTGAAAGTTAAAATTACATTCTTTCATTATTCTATGGGGGTGGGGAAAGTCCAGCCTGCTAATCTTATAGGGTCCATGAAATCATTTGGTCTGGCCCTGCCAAAGCAACTGCAGACAGGACTCAAAATTTGGTAACTCTAGAGCAGACCACTATTTTTTAAGCTGATCATTTTAAAAGTTATTAATATAAAGATAACAGATTTCATGTATTTCATAAATATAATTCTCAGAAGATAGGAGCTGGTAATTTTGTGTGGCCTATGAATGATGCTATAAATATCCAAATGGTGCTTGACACACAAAAGGCTCCCCATCCCTGTTCTAGCAGTTCTCCAGGCAGAAGTCATCCAATCCACTTATCTGCAAGTCAGAATTATGAATGTGGTTCTTACGCGTAGGGCCAAGGGGAAAGACAGGTGGTGAAAAGTGAAGCAGGTATTTATCATGTCATCATCGGTTTGTGTTAAGTGTGTGGAAAGGATAGCAGTGTGCAGGCCAGAAGCTCGTTGTAATCTGTGGTTCAGCCAGCATTCATTGAGTTCTGCCAGTTACCAGGGATGGAAGTGAAGTGTGACACTGCCCTCAGTGAGCTCCCCATGTACCCGGAACCGAGAGACGGTTTTCTGAGTGTCGTGAATATAAGGCTGATGAGCCAGGGAGGGTATGCGGGGATGGTTGGTGATGGAGAAGAACTGCACCGAGAAGGGCTAGAACGTCACTGCGGGTGACTGTTATTCTAAGTGGCGATAGCTGAACTTCGTTTCCAAACACTTGAATTTTGTCAAAACTCTCTCTAGCTCATTATAAATTTTACTTGCTTACTTCAACTTTGTTCGCCATGGGTGATGGATGGGTTTTACCTCCTGAGTGCCAAAGCACACATTAATATTTTGTTTGAACCAAGGCTTTTTCGATGTGTGCATTGTTTGCTTTTCTCCATGTGTTGGGTGAAAGTTGGTTCTTCCTGTCGTGTACTTGATCCGAGGGGAAGCTTTTGGTAGTTGGCATGTCAGAAGTTAAGAATGAGCTGGGAGTGGAATCCCAAGGCTCTTAGTTCCACATTCTGAGTTTGATGCTATGCCTTTTATGGAGTACTGGTCGTAGCATAGACATGGAATCTGCCAAACATGACGTAGTCCTAACAAACTTGACTTCTTAGAGCAGGGAAGTAGGAATGCATTGCTGGAAGAATTGAAATTGGAACTCTAGAGGTGGTTCTGAACTTGCTCAGATTTTGTTGGTGGATTTACAGCATCGTGGTAATTGTGGGGAGTCTCTAAAGATCCCTCCGGTTTGGCCCCCAAACAGCCTATAGCTTGGGCCTTCTCTCTTGCCAACTTCAAAACTATGGATTCTGCACAAAGCGGGTGGCTCAGTGTCATGGTTTTGGTTTATCAGGACTGATGTTCGAAGTTCTTGTGCTTAATTAGTAGCTAAGTAAATTTATTGACTTAATTTGTGTTCAAACAGTACTTTGCACACAGTGGGCACTGAATATAAGGAAATCATCTAGCCAGATTGTTCAACCCTGAGTTTCTCAGAGTATTTGAAAATGTATTTTCTGGACTCTTGCCTTTTCTGGTTTCAGTTGAGTAGGAAGTAGCCAGGAGTGGACATCAAAAGAAGATGGGTAGTTTTGTTTCTTCCATTTTTACAGTACCTCTCAATCCTCATTATACTAACAAGTAATAGGAAGAAACAAAATGGCAAATATTCCCCAACTAAATGCTCGGAGATTGAAAAAAGAAGAAAAGTTGTTTTTATTTGCAACTATGTGCCTGTTTCATTCTCAGAGAATGAGCTGTGCCACGGGGTGGGAGGGGGTGGGAGGGAAGCCCAGGGGCAGCGAGGGGCCTGCACATTCTGTCCCTGCCCTTTAGTCACCAGGGGTTGATTCTGATCACAGGGAGAGCGGCAGCTTCCCAAACTACCGCTGCAGTCTGTGTCAGGAAACATTGTTCTCTAAGATGCTCAACAGCACATTGGGGGGCAGTGTCTCCTTAGTCCACTCAGGAATATTTCCTCACTTTGCGCTCTTCCAGGTGAAGGTCGCCTTTAAGAAGGGGGTTCCTGGACTCCTCCCCTCCAGAATGAGCACTGCCGTGTCGTGACCCTTGGGGTTTTGGTAAGTAGACTGATAGCAGTGGACCACAGGTCTGGCTTGCAGAAACAGTCTTGGGAGAAAAAGCTGCAACTTTAATCACTGTATTTTTGTTTTTGTTTTTTCCCTTGACATCATCCAACTCTTCTTTGCTAACCAGCACCCTCAGCTCCTGGTAACCACCATTTTGCTCCCTGCTTCTGTGAGACCCACTGTTTTAGACTCAATGAATTGATGAGTCAAATGTCTTTCTGTGCGTGGCTCTTTTCATTGAGGGGTTGGCAGGAGGCAGTGATGTCTGTACACACACTGGCACACACCCTTACCATCAGCACGCACACTTGAACAACCCTTTGTACACATGCAAGGTGCTGACACAGATAGACACAAGTTTGCCTTACCTGTGCGTATCTGAACCCACTGTGGACACTTCTGTATACGAACACACAACACTAGCGCACACACTCCAATACTGACACATAGACACTCAGCACTGGCACACACACATCATATTCTCCTGGCCCTTCCATACCATTGTAAATGACAGAATCTCGGTCTCCTCTTTAAGGCTCAGTAGTTGTTATGTGTGTGTGTCATGTTCTCTCATGCTTTTTGGTGGACACTTGAGTTGATTCCATACATTGGCTGTTGTAAATAATGAATACAGCAGTGCAAATGTTTTGTAAACATGCTGGTTCCATTTCCTCTGGATAACGACAAACATTTTTTGAGCAAATATGTGCCAGGTGTTACAATTGGGGCTGGGAATACCGGTGGGCAGAGGTTCTTACCTACCCCTGCCTTCGCCAAGCTTAGGGGCAGGTGGAGGAGATGAGTGTCACATGACACATAGTCATCCCGTGACAAAGGAAACACCAAGGAAGTCATTGAAAATTTCATGTAGATCAGTGGCTTTAAAAGATCCTTCCTCTCTAAAGAGTAACACTTAAGCTGAGACTTCATTCATTCGACAAAAAACAGTGAAGCTTGCGAGCGGATAGAGGATAGGAAATGAGGGAGAATGGCACTGGGAATGCCTCCTGAATTTCTGGCATGAGCATCTGAGTTAAGGGGTCGTTGGGTACGTTGAAAAGCAGAGTGAGAATACTTTTTGGAGGCAAGTTGTCCAGAAATAACTGCTGTCTGATGCTGTGCTGGTGGGACGCTCTCGGGAGGTGACAAGAAGGCTGTGCGAGTGCGGCTCTGTACTTCCTAAGCTGAGCTCACGGAACAGTGTGCCTTGGTCCCCCTGGAGAACTGCAGGTAGAATGAGAAGAGGACCCAGAGCTGAGTCCTGAGCAGCTCTTTTTGTACTTTTTCATTAGTTAATTAATTAGTTAATCTGTTTGAAAAGATTTATTTACTTTTTTTTAAGATTTATTTTTATTATTTTTTCATTGGAAAGGAAGATATACAGAGAGGAGAGACAGAGAGGAAGATCTTCCGTCCGATGATTCACTCCCTAAGTGAGCGCAACAGCTGATGCCATGCCGATCCGAAGCCAGGAGCCTCTTCCGGGCCTCCCACGCAGGTGCAAGGTCCCAAAGCTTTGGGCCGTCCTCGACTGCTTTCCCGGGCCACAGGCGGGGAGCTGGAAGGGAAGCGGGGCTGCCGGGATAGAACCGGCGCCCATATGGGATCCTGGGCATGCAATGCGAGGACTTAACCACTTGCGCCACCGCGCCGGGCCCAGATTTATTTACTTTTAATTGAAAGGCAGATTTACAGAGAGGGAAATACAGAGGTCCACCCATTCTTCCTCATATGGCTACAGTGTCCTGAGGTAGGCCAGTTGGAGCCAGGAGCTTCATCTGGGTCTCCCATGTGGGTACAAAAGCTCAAGGACTTAAGCCACCCTCCACTGCTTTCCTAGGCACATTAGCAGGGAGCTGGATCAGAAATGGGGCAGCCAGGACTCGAACTGGTACCCATATGAGATGCCAGCACCACACACAGAGGCCTAACCTCCTGTACCATGGCTCTGACCAGTTTTTTATTTAATTTTATTTTGGGGGGATATATTTATTTGAAAGTTGAGGTTACAGAGAGAGAGAGAGAGCTTCTATTCACTGGTGTACTTCCCAGGTGGCCGTAAGGGCCAGCAGTGGGCCAGGCTGAAGCCAGAAGGCAGGAGCAAGGAGCTTCCTCCGTGTCTCCCACGTGGATGCGGGGATACAAGCACGTGAGCCATCTCCTGCTGCTTTTCCCAGGCCATTAGCAGGGCTGTGGATAGGGGACTGTGTAAAGGAGGGATCTAAAAGGGAAGCTGATAAAGAGTGATCGGAGGGGAAGGAGGAAAACCGGGAGACTGGTGTTGTGGAAGCTGGAAAGGAGAGTTCTCCGGAAGGAAGTGATCAGCTGGCAGAATTGAAGGGGTGGAATGAGGAAGAAGTTGGAAAAGTGGCCTTAAATACAAATTGTGGTTCCTGTAAAGTAGTGCAAGTTGGTGTAAGGTGGTTCAAGAGCAAATGGTGGGTGAGGAAGTGCAGGCTGTGTGTCTTGTAGAGAAACTTGGCTGTGACAGGGAATAGAATGCTAGAGATGGGTTGTGTCTTGTTTGTATTTATCTATTTTTTTACGCTGGAGGAAACTACAGTGTGCCTGGCTACTGATCGGAAGGATGGGCGTCGGAGGTTGAGGACATGACCACAGGACCCGAGTGGGAACCCTCAGGAGACTAGAGGGGATAGGTCTGCGCCACTCAGGGCAGAACTGACATTTGGGGAGAAGTGGGCTATTATTTGCTAGTTTCTGAAAGAGAAGAAAGAGAGGGTAGGTGCAGAATTGTGTGTTTGGTGGTGGGGACCCCCTACCTGGGGACATTTTTTTCCCTGGTAAGTACTGGGCAGGACAGTGCTGTGTGTGGGGAGTGGACAGGAGGGCAGGGCAGACAGGACGTGTGGAAGCTGTGAGGTCGCATCCAGGAAAAAAGCCAGCCAGCTTGCTGGCAAGTGCAGCAGCCACTGCGATGGCTCACACTAGTGTGCGTTGTTTCCTGACCAGCACTTCTCTGAACTCAAGTGCCTACAGAGGCACTGCAGTGATGACGAGTCCAAGATTGGGGCCTGGCATCCTTGGCATGAGCCTCAGTCTTCTCATCTCTAAGATGGGTACCTGCTTTGTGGAGTCATTGTGAGTGATCTAACATGTATGCACAGTTACTAATCCATAGTAAAAATTGGGAGCATTATGGAAGAAGAGAGGAGAGTAGAGCTAAGGGCCTAAGAGATTAAGTTACATTGGAGGAGGGGAAAAAGCTTCTCTGTGGTCAAAATGGTTCTTTGGCAGATTATCCTGCCCCCAGTCCTTAAAGGTAAGCAGTTGAACATTTGAACTTTCTCAAGAGCCTAATTTTATGTTTTGGAACAGTGTGATAACTTAGTAGGTATTTGTTCAGTTACTTTTACTGTCAAAAGGCTAAAGCTGGTGATGATTTCTTCAAGAACTCTGTTACAGCAGGGGCCGATAAACTTGGAGTTTATTTTCAGTCCCCAGAGGAGCGAGCCTCCATGCTCTCTCCATCCAAAAAGTTCAGGCAAGGGAGATGACATAGGATGAAGAGCTAGCTCAGAGAGCAAGTGATGAAAAATCTTGGAGAAGCCACTTGTAGTCCCCGGGCTTCATTCCTTGGTCGGTAAAACACCTGTCAGTCCAGGTCACGTGGACTGTGAGATGCTGCTGCTCAGGAAGTATTTGAAAACAAAGGTGCTTTATGTTCACAGCATTAGTATTAGAAATTGTCTTTGCTTTAAGCCTCATCAAAAATGTCTGGCAGGTTAATGAGGTGATTTGAGTTGTGTAATATGTCTTGAGTTTCTTTGGGCAAAAAGTGCAGCCTAGATGCCAGGTGCTTCTGTTCCACGAGCAGCCGACTGAGTCGCATAGGAGCCAACCTTGTTCTCAGTACATCATGCCCAGCATTGTAGCGAAACCAAGGAACTTTCAGACAGGTTCTTGTCTTCAACGGACATCTTCTTCACAGGGAGATGCACTGTGCATGCAAGACTGTTCAGTGTGGTATGGAATTGAATGCAGGCTGCCTGATGCTAACAGAAAGTGCCAGAAATTATAGAGGGAGGACTCTAAAGGTGCTAACTGCTTTTCTTCTTCTGATCCGACGGCTTTGTCTTGCAAGATGCCTTTAATACTTCAAGTTTACCAGCGATCCTGATATTTCGTTGAGAAGTTACAGAATGGTTTATGATCATCTGTGTCGAACTTGACAACCACATTCTGTTTTATAGTCTAAACTGAAGGGGAGAAAAAGCTGAGTGATGGCAGGGAGTAAAAATGCAACCTTAAATATAATCAAGTCCACACTGTTTTTAGGATGCTTTCTGCTGAGATCAGCATATGAACATTCTATAGTGTTTTAGTTTTGATATTTTCCCTGACTTCTTTATTACAGCAGAAAAAATTTAATTGTGTATACTCAGAGTTTCCATAAAGTCCTTCCTGTGTCCCAGGTAAAATAGCTGGGGTTCTTGCAAATCCCTATGTAGGGAAAAGACATTTAATATTTGATAGTGATCATAGTGCCAAAACTTAACGTACCACTGATTCTACCAGTTTTAGTTCAGTCATTGAGGCTCTTCAGGTATTTGAGGGTCCTTCACATAGTTCATGAAAAAACCAAGTTGTGGGCCCAGCGTGGTAACCAAGCAGCTAAAGTCCTTGCCTTGAACTTGCTGGGATCCTATATGGGCACCAGTTCTAATCCCAGCGGCCCCACTTCCCATCCAGCTCCCTGCCTGTGGTCTGGAAAAGCAGTTGAGGACAGCCCAAAGCATTGGGATCCTGCACCCTTGTGGGAGACTCAGAAGAGGCTCCGGGCTCCTGGCTTTGGATCAACTCAGTTTTGGTCATTGCAGCCACTTGGGGAGTGAATCAGCGGACAGAAAATCTTCTCTGTCTCTATTCCACTCTGTATACCTGACTTTTCAATAAAAATAAATAAATTAAAAAAAAAAAAAAGAAAAAACATGGTTGAAGGATATGCTTATTTTGGTGTTGACAGCCATAGTTTTGTTATCTTATGTGTTTTGAGGAGACTCCTTCTACATAAGAAAAGCCTGTAGCTTTTCTTAGCTAATTAGCTAATCTATTGGAGAGGCAGAGAGACAGATTTCTCCAGGCTGCTGCTTCCCTCCTCGGCTGTCCAAAACAGCTAGGGGCCCAAAGCTGGGTCCTCACAGGAATGTCAGGAACCCAGTTCCTTGAAGCATGTATCCTGGGGTATGCATGAGCTGGGAGTCAGACATCACTGGATATGGTGTGTGGGCTTAGGAAGTCAGATGCCCACTTTCAAACAGAAGGAGACAGAAAGAAAGATCCTCCTTTCATTGATTCACTCCCAAAATGACCGCAGTAGCTGGAGCTGAGCCATTCTGAAGCCAGGAGCTTCTTCTGGGACTCCCACTTGGGTGCAAGGTCCCAAGGCTTTGGGCCATGCTCTACTGCTTTCCCAGGTCACAAGCGGGGAACTGGATGGGAAGTGCAGCATCCAGGAATTGAACCAACATCCTTATGAGACAACAGCATCTCTGGAAGCAGCTTTACTTGCTATGCCACAGCACCAGCCCACCTTTGGTTCTTTAACCACTAACCTTACACCTGATATCCTACTTATTCAGTTCTATATTCTGTCAGTAAGACATTCCAAGGTGAAAGAGAAGGAAAAGTGGCTGTAAGAAAACAGTTGCAACTGTTTTGGCTGTTTGGGGAGTAAACCAGTAGATGATCTCATTCTAACTGCCTTTCAAATAAGCAAATATTCAAAGGAGTCAAATAGTGTTAGACATAGTGCAGATGTTTCGCTTACATATTAGAGTACTTAGAGAAATTTGTGGAAAATGGAAAAACAGTGGTGGTTGTAAGAAAGCAATGCATCGGGGTGGGTTTGTTATATTTCAATGCTGCTGTTTGCATCAGAGCCCAAATGTCAGATAGTCACCGTGGAGGTGCGGTACTCAAGTGTTTGAAAGCATTGTCTTGAAAAAAAGAAAATACCACTTCTGGAAGTTTTTCTTTTTTTTTTTTCCATTCAGAAGCAGAAAAGTGTGTGTGGGGGTGTTGGTTCTCTGTGGACGGTCGCTGCTTGCTGCGCGTGTGAGTGGGTGGGAGGCTGTGTTCTGGGCAGGAGGTCTCGGTCTCCCTTCAGCTGATATTGCCCCATAGCCTGTAGCCTGAGCATCAGCCTTCCCCTCTGCCCTGCGGGAGGCTGAGGAGTGACCCAGATGATACCTCATTGATTTGCCTGCGGCTGTCACCTCGATCCTGTGTAAGGGTATTTCTTTTTCTCTCTGTTTATGCTCCCTATGCTTTTTGGGTGGCCTCTTCCTACAGTGTGCCCTGGAGATGCGAGATTTTCCTTTGGCAGCAGGAGGCACACCCCCAGAGAATGCTGGAGCTGCAAGGGGAAAGGACCTATTTCCACAGCAAAGAAAAACCAAGAGGAAAAAGGCACATAGGTTGCCAGCGCTGAAGGACGCAGCCAGCCAGCAGTGGGCGCCTGCCACTGCCCCCGGCACTGTTTCTGCTGCAGCCCGAGAGGAACTCGGTGAGCCCATCTGTGACTGTGACTGCAAGCTCAGGATTTCAATCAATGCATTCCAGTAACCCTAAAGTGAGGAACTCTCCATCAGGAAACACGCAGAGGTAAGGTCCTGGGCTTCCACCTGCTGCCCCTCAGGGGTGCCGCTACTCACTGCAGGAACTGGGTGTTGAATTAAAAGCAGATGAGACCCTAGATTAGTAAACAGGAATGAGTTAGTAACCAGGCCATAGGATAATCAAGGCTCACGTTAGGGTTTTTTCTTTCTTTTTTCTTTTGGTCTGTCATCCCGAGACACCTCACCATCTGGTCCTCTCCTTGCCCAGACACAAGGAAAAGAACCTTAAATGTCTGGAGGAGCTGAGGCCTGGGGCAAGGAGGCTTAAGGATCTAGAATAAAACACCAGCATGCCCAGGTTCCACTGTGAAGGTGCCAGAAAGCTGAAATGGTTATTTTCAGAGGATTCTCCCCTGGGCCCTGGGACAGTGGCTGGGTCGCATTCTGCTTGCTGGGAGGGATCAGCATCTGTGAAGACTTGCCCACCCTGACAGTGACTAGTTTTCCTCCTGCCCGCCTGGATCCACTCACATCTTGCAGCAGGCGAGCGAGGTGCTCATTACTGCTGCACGTCATCAGCCTGCGGGCGGGTGGTGTTTTGATCTTCACACTGCCTGTTTGTTGACTCTAAGCCAGTCTCAGGGTGAGAGTCACTTCTCTAAGTACATAGAAACAGTTGTGCTTATTGACAGAAGCCCTAGGGATGGGTCCCCGTGTGACACCCAGGGTTCCCGAGACCTGGCAGGCTGCTCTGCCTGATCCTCCCTCTGTGGATAGCTCTGAGATGGGAGGGGGCGGGCTTGGCCAAGGTGACACAGAGTGGTGGTTTAGTACTCAGGGCCTCCTTGACCTGCAGTGAAACTGCTGCTCCCTGATGTGTGCTGACCAACTTGAGCCTGGTGTCTGATCTCCCTTTGTTATTTGTTTCTTTTAGTAGCCCTAAGTCAAAGCAGGAGGTGATGGTCCGTCCCCCTACAGTGATGTCCCCATCTGGAAACCCCCAGCTGGATTCCAAATTCTCCAATCAGGGTAAACAGGGGGGCTCAGCCAGCCAATCCCAGCCATCCCCCTGTGACTCCAAGAGTGGGGGCCATACCCCTAAAGCACTCCCTGGCCCAGGTGGGAGCATGGGGCTGAAGAATGGGGCTGGAAATGGTGCCAAGGGCAAGGGGAAAAGGGAGCGAAGTATTTCCGCCGACTCCTTTGATCAGAGAGATCCTGGGACTCCAAACGATGACTCTGACATTAAAGGTATGTCTACAAGATCTTTGAGACTCAGAGGGAAGTAGGTGTTCCTGAGGGAAGGCCTCTGATCATTTCTGGAAGCCAGAGGGCTAGTATCAGCCAGGTGGGGAGAGCAAGGGATGAGGTTGAGGGAGGCTCACAGTTGATGATGAACTCTTTCTTTTCAGTTTTCTAATTCAGCAGTGGTGTGGAACCCCGGTAGAGGGGCTCTCACACTTGAGGTACAAGTGCTTTAGGGGCTGAGGAAGCAGTTTCACATGCCCGACTGTCTGCTGATTGGCTTGGTAGAGATGTGACAGGCACCAGTAGAGAGTAAGCCCAGTGGAATGTGGGACCAATGGCTGTGGATTCCAGCTTTTTATCCTCCGCATATACGGACAAAAGTCTTAACAGCGTGAAGTTAGTATGGATTCCTCAACCCAAGTTAGAAGTGAAAATTTCCCCCCTTTCTCTGCACCTGCCTCTTCCCCTCCTCTGCCCTTCTTGCTCAGGAAGCCTGTTGTGGGTGCCAGCATTATGCTAGGTGTTGAGCATGCCATGGTCAACCAAACAGGTTCAGTTGCTCTCCTCAAGGATCTGATAGTCTCCACAAAGCTGTGACCATTAAACAACTACAGTAAAGTCACAGAGTTGCTGCAATAAGAGAAGTTAGGGGGCAATGAGCTCAATCACTGGGGCATTCGGTCCAGGAGGCTTCCGAAGTTTTCCAGGAAAGAACACTGAACAGTTTTAAGGCTGAGTTAAGAGAAGGAAGGAGGTGGGAGAAGAATGCTGTGCAATTTGTCATGTAGGGAGACTAGTATTTGGAATTTTCTGAATAGAAGAGGTTTCCTCTCAGTAAGGTACTTTCTCCTTGAAATTCTCAAGGTGGATCTGTATTGTGATGCAATAAATGCTGGCGGACTTAAGTTTCCTTGCTTCTGTGATGATGAGTCTTCTCATTGTTTTAGAATGTAATTCTGCTGACCACATAAAGCCCCAGGATCCCCAGCACACCCCCCACTCGATGACTCCATCGACTGCTACAGCCCCCAGGTCTTCCACCCCTTCCCATGGCCAAACTACTGCCCCAGAGCCTACACCTGCTCAGAAGACTCCAGCCAAAGTGGTCTATGTGTTTTCTACTGAGATGGCCAATAAGTAAGTCAACAGCTTGGTCTTGCTGTGGGGCTGGCTCGTTTGGGGGGCACCTCAGTTCTCATTCCCATCTCAGATTCATCTTTTCTTTACACCTGTGTGTCATTTTCAGTGAGTATGAAACCACACAGAAAGAGAAAAGTGAAACGTAGCCTTTTCCAGCCCTGCTCCCCAGAGGCAGCCCTGACAGGACTTCCTCGCCTTTGCTTTCAGAACTGTTTTGTGCTTACATAAAGCCACACACATAAGCCTTTTCCAAACACTGAAGGGTTGATGTTGCCATCTACTTACAGTTCTTTTGTCAATTGCACAAGTAATAAATGTCCATTTTGGGTTTATTAGGAGATATAACCAAAAAGAAAAAAAAATTGTAGAGCTCAGAGAGGGCTACTGTGAACATTTGAATTGCATTTTCAACAAGTAGATGAATCAGTGGATTGCATTGTAATTTGGGATTTCTGACTTTTTCTTTAACTTCGGATTTTTTTACTTAAGATTAAAAAGTGCATCCTGACATCCTGAGGCTGCCATTGGGGGGTTGTAAGATTTCATGTCCACCCTTGTCAGCTTGGGGTTTTGAACCATTTTCTGGGATTCTCTGGAAAACAACCACAGAAGTGGATTGGTGTGAGAAGATGATAATGGTTTTCCTTCTTTGTCTCTCAGTGCCTCTTTGGGGATTGACTAATGGTTGTCTTTTGATTTCAGAAGTCTGATGTAAATGATAAACATAAATACTAATATGTTTCTGCAAAATTCTACTGCAACCTTTCTGGTGATTCTTTGTACTTCTCGCACCCTCCCAAGTCCCATGTGGGGAATTGTGGTCGGTAGACTAGAAGCCTCAGTGTATGCTCTCTCCCTTGCCTTACAGAGCTGCAGAAGCTGTACTGAAGGGCCAGGTTGAAACAATCGTCTCTTTTCACATCCAGAACATTTCTAACAGCAAGACAGAAAGAAGCACAGCCCCTTTGGTATGTCCTTTGGAGAAGGCGTTACGGTGGGAGGGTTCTGCAGCAACTGCAGAGGTTGGCAGGGGAGGCGTTTCTCAGCGCCTTAGTGGTCTGCGCTACATGCTGGGCAGTTTACTGAATTTCTGGCTTTGTAGTTTTTGGGCCATCACCCAAGATCAGCCTTTTCATTCAGACCCACCTTTTCATCCAGAATGGTGGTAGACTGATGAATTACCAGGGAGAAGGAGATCGAAAGTAAAGAGTTTTCATATTTCCTCCATGTAGTCATCCCTGGGAGAACGTGATTTTAGACCTTACACACAGTGCAGTTTGAAAGAAAATATGAACACTCCTGAATTAAACAGAAAATGCGTTCAATGCTGGCATCTAATGTGAATATTGGTTCAAATCCCAGCTGCTCCCCTTCCAATTCAACTCCCTGCTAATGCATCTGAGAGAGCAGCAGGAGATGGCCCAGTGCTTTGGGGTCCCGTCAACCACATGGATACGCAGATCAAGCTACTGGCTCTTGGCTTTGTCCTGGTCATTGCAGCCATTAGAGAAGGGAACTGGCAAATGGAAAAATCTCTCTCTCTTTCTAAGATTTATTTTTATTGGAGAGGCAAATCATATTTTATGGAGAGAAGGAAAGAGTTCCCATGTGAGGTGCAGGAGTCCAAACACCTAGGTCATCCTTCACTGGTGTTTCCCAGGCAGGGAGCTGGATAGGAAGTGGAGCAGCTGGGACACAAACCAGCATCCAAATGGGATCCCAGCACTTGCAAGGTGAGGATTTAGCCATTGAGCCATCATGTTGGACCCTCTTCTCTCTTAACTCTTCCTTTCAAATAAATAAATAAATGATTTTAAAAAGAAAAAAAAACAGAGAAAGCATTAATTAAAACCACTGTCCTTGAATACATGATAATACCATAATTAGAGTTTCAGTGACCTTCAGAATGATTCTTCTTCCAAAGTGAGAGGGCCCATTGAATGCTTTTCATTGCTTCATATTTCAAAGTTATTATAAATGTTATTCTATTTCCTGTCTGGATTTTAAGCAGCTGCTGTATATTACATTGGAAAAGTATGCAGAGGCTGCTTAGCGTGTGTGCTTACAGACTGAGCCACTCCTGTGCTGAGTGCTGCCAGTCTACTACACAGACTGCTCTGGCGCATTCCCTTTTTCTAGGGAGCTTAAAATCCAGTACTAGGACGAATCTTAAACATGGAAAAGGTTAAGTAACAATGAATGAATGAGATGACAATTCAAGATTAAACAGATAGTGTCTATTTTGTATATCCACGAAGTGTCCATCTCAGTGGCCGTAACTGTGCATGGACTTAGCTGGACCTGGAGGAAGAGTCGTACATTCCCTACACATCTCTATCACTCAGGGACAGAGATTGGAAATAACTATATTTAAAGTGCTGTTTGTCCTAGAACACAGGGCACATTACATTGCAGGGCAGCTTTTTCATCAACTTAGTACCAGTTTTTTTTTTTAAAAAAGATTTATTTTTATTATTTTTTTATTGGAAAGGCGGATATACAAAGAGGAGAGACAGAGAGGAAGGTCTTCTGTCCGATGACTCACTCCCCAAGTGAGCGCAACAGCTGATGCTATGCCGATCCGAAGCCAGGAGACTGTTCCGGGTCTCCCACACGGGTGCAGGGTCCCAAAGCTTTGGGCCGTCCTCGACTGCTTTCCCGGGCCACAGGCAGGGAGCTGGATGGGAAGCGGGGCTGCTGGGATAGAACCGGCACCCATATGGGATCCCGGGCATGCAAGGCGAGGACCTTTAACCACTTGCGCCACTGCGCCGGGCCCAACTTAGTACCAGTTTTAACAGAGTTGTCACCTCTGTCTTTTTCTGGTGCTAAAACAAAATCAGGAATTAAGAAGGAAATTGAAAATAATCCATTGCGCTACAGCTAAAAAGGAAAAGGTGGCACTAAATGGATTCTTCTGTCATAGTTACCTTAAATGAAATCAATACCTACTGCATCCCAGACCCATAAAAACTGACTAACAAAACCATACATAAAATGGAACTAGGAGGAAAATTAGGATGACCCCTGCACCACAGTTAAGAAGCAGACTTGGATATACCTTTTTGGAAAAGATGGATTTAGGTTTGTGTTTGAAACAGTGACAGAGAAGGAGAGACAGAGGTCTTCCACTTGCCCATTCACTCCTCAAATGACCACAGTGGCCAGGGGTGGGCCAGACCAAAGTCAGAAGCCTAGACTTCCATCCAGGTCTCCCAGGTGGATGGTAGGGGTCATATAGCACTTGCCCATCTTCTGCTTTCCTAGGTCTATTAGTAGGGAGCTAAATTGGAGTGGAACAGCCAGGACTCAAAATTTTTGCTACAGTATATACGGTACTGGCCTCATAAATGGCAGTTCAATCTGTTGTGCCAGAGTACTGGTCCCTGGGATATACTCTTGCTTGTCCACAGTCATGGGTTCGGTCAGGACTTAGGCACATAAATCCATATCCACGGATAAGTGTACATAGATGCCTCTAACTTGAAGAATTTATATACATTTACATATAAGGAAGACACTCAAAGAGATGTCTTTGTGTATATATTACTATTCAAATCCCACAAATGCACATAGTGACTTGTGTGCAGCTTTTTACACAAATAAGCACGGCAGAAAGTAGGTTGGGGAGGGAATCAATAACCACAGGGGTTTGGAGACCAGATTAAATGACCAACGAGGAGCAAATGAGCCCCAAAAGGGGCCTACGGAGTCCACTGGAGGCTCCAAGACAGTTGATAGACTGTGCCTTCTTCTCAAGGATTAGCAGATCCACAACATCCCACGTCCCGTCTTGCAGACACTCCCAGTGTCAGCATCACCTGTGCTTTCTCCCGGGTCTTTGGCTAGCAGCGGCACTTAATAAATAATAATCAGGCAATCATCCAGCCTGTTCCAAAGGTTGGTCTGCTGCCTCACTGGAAAGAACAGATCAGGAGACACCATGAGCTAGATAGCCTCAGATTCCTTCACAGACGCTTCCTGCCCGTAGATTGTCTTACTACAGGTAAGACAAATTCTTATCAAATCTAGAATCAGTGATCACAAACTGAAAACAGAAACCAGAGCAGTTGGGGTCCTTGGACATTCAAGGAGGTAGTGCCTCAGTGGTCCTGTGCCAGAGAATTTGCTGAAGTGGAACAGCCTTATGCACTGCCTCCAGCTGGTAGAGCACACAGCTAGCTGCAGATGAGTTCATGCTTTTTCTCTTTCTGCTGGGAACAGACCTCACAATTGACAGTGGGAAGTCATTAAACTGGGTTGTACTTTCAGGGAAGACGAAAAGGTGTTGGGCACAGCCTCACACATACCAAGGGGCTGATCTCTCCCTGAATCAGAAACACATTGCAGACATTTGATATCAGACCTGTTCCTCGAAATAGATCATCAGATGTATGCACTTTGGCAGGGTAACTCTCCCTGGCATGCTCATAAAGTTACTGAAACCTGATCCTCAGCAAGAGAAAGAGGATGTCATTTGACAGTAAGGTTTAGGAAAAAAAAAAGACAAGACATCAAATGTCCCATATCCAGAATGATGGGGTGTACATGAGAAAGTTCTACAGCAAGTATCAGTCTAGATGGATATGACTGGGGTTAAGTCCTTTATAACATTTCTTACCCTTTTGATTGCCTGTCTGCTCAATTTACCAATGCTTTCAAAAAATCTTGTTTTCTTCAGAACACACAGATCTCTACTCATCGGAATGATCCCAAGCCTCTGCCACAGCAGCCCCCAGCTGCAGCTGCCCAGGACCAGAATTCTTCCCAGAACACCAGACTGCAGCCAACCCCACCCATTCCAGTCCCAGCCCCAAAACCTGCCGCACCCCCTCGTCCCCTGGACCGGGAGAGTCCTGGGGTAGAAAACAAGCTGATTCCTTCCGTAGGCAGCCCTGCCAGCTCCACTCCACTGCCGCCAGATGGTACTGGGCCTGACTCGACGCCCAATAATCGAGCAGTGACCCCTGTTTCCCAGGGGAGCAATAGCTCTGCAGCTGATCCCAAAGCCGCCCCACCTCCACCAGTGTCCAGCGGTGAGCCCCCCACACTGGGAGAGAACCCCGACGGCCTATCTCAGGAGCAGCTGGAGCATCGAGAGCGCTCCTTACAAACTCTCAGAGACATCCAGCGGATGCTCTTCCCCGATGAGAAAGAATTCGCAGGAGGACAAAGTGGGGGACCCCAGCAGAGTGCTGGGGTACTGGATGGACCTCAGAAGAAACCAGAAGGGCCAATACAGGCCATGATGGCTCAATCCCAAAGCCTAGGGAAGGGGCCTGGGCCCCGGACGGACGTGGGAGCCCCATTTGGCCCACAAGGACACAGAGATGTTCCGTTCTCTCCAGATGAAATGGTTCCACCTTCTATGAACTCCCAGTCCGGGCCCATAGGACCCGACCACCTGGATCACATGACTCCTGAGCAGATCGCGTGGCTAAAGCTACAACAGGAGTTTTACGAAGAGAAGAGGAGGAAGCAGGAGCAAGTGGTGGTCCAGCAGTGCTCCCTGCAGGACATGATGGTGCATCAACATGGGCCCCGGGGTGTGGTTCGGGGGCCACCCCCTCCATACCAGATGACCCCTGGGGAGGGCTGGGCTCCTGGAGGTGCAGAGCCATTTCCTGACGGCATCAACATTTCACACTCTTTGCCCCCAAGGGGCATGACTCCCCACCCCAACATGCCTGGAAGCCAGATGCGCCTCCCTGGATTCGCAGGGATGATCAACTCTGAAATGGAGGGGCCAAACGTCCCCAACCCAGCCTCGAGACCAGGTCTCTCTGGAGTCAGTTGGCCAGATGATGTGCCAAAAATCCCAGATGGTCGCAACTTCCCTCCTGGTCAGGGCGTGTTCAGTGGGCCGGGCCGAGGAGAGCGCTTCCCAAACCCCCAAGGACTATCGGAAGAGATGTTTCAGCAGCAGCTGGCAGAGAAGCAGCTGGGGCTGCCCCCAGGCATGAGCATGGAAGGGATCAGGCCTGGCCTGGAAATGAACCGGATGATCCCTGGTTCACAGCGCCACATGGAGCCAGGGAACAATCCCATCTTTCCTCGGATACCAGTTGAGGGCCCCCTGAGTCCTTCCAGGGGCGACTTTGCAAAAGGCATACCTCCGCAGATTGGCCCTGGTCGGGAGCTTGAGTTCGGCATGGTTCCCGGAGGGATGAAGGGAGATGTCAACCTGAATGTCAGCATGGGCTCCAACTCTCAGATGATACCTCAGAAGATGAGAGAGGCTGGGGCGGGCCCCGAGGAGCTGATGAAACTGCGTCCGGGGGGTTCGGATGTGCTGCCTGCTCAGCAGAAAATGGTGCCTCTTCCATTTGGCGAGCACCCTCAGCAGGAGTATGGCATGGGCCCCAGGCCCTTCCTCCCCATGTCTCAGGGTCCAGGCAACAACAGTGGCTTGCGGAATCTCAGAGAACCAATTGGGCCCGACCAAAGGACTAACAGCCGGCTCAGTCATATGCCACCACTACCTCTCAACCCTTCCAGTAACCCCACTAGCCTCAACACAGCTCCTCCAGTCCAGCGCGGCCTGGGGCGGAAGCCCTTGGATATCTCTGTGCCAGGCAGCCAGGTGCACTCTCCCGGCATGAACCCCCTGAAATCTCCCACCATGCATCAAGTCCAGTCACCGATGTTGGGCTCACCCTCGGGGAACCTCAAGTCGCCCCAGACACCGTCGCAGCTGGCAGGCATGCTGGCGGGCCCAGCTGCTGCTGCTTCCATTAAATCTCCCCCTGTCTTGGGGTCTGCTGCTGCTTCACCCGTTCACCTCAAATCTCCCTCACTTCCTGCCCCGTCGCCTGGATGGACTTCCTCTCCAAAACCTCCCCTTCAGAGTCCTGGGATCCCACCAAACCACAAAGCTCCCCTCACCATGGCCTCCCCAGCCATGCTGGGCAGTGTAGAGTCAGGTCAGTATGTCTGCATCCTTTTTAGCAGGAGATTGCTCAAGCCTGATCGAGTTGAGACTGCAGGTGTCTTGTCTCGATAGTGCAGCCTGAGGAGGTGACTTTTGCTGTAACAGACACCTCCGTGGCAAAGGGGCATGGTTGGCGCTTCTGCAGGGTTTTGCACAAGTGTCCATACCTGGCAAGGAATATTTGTGTCAGATGAAACTGTTGAGGGAGGAAGGGAAGTGGGAAATAGATGTCAGCTTGTAGAATAATTTGCATGCATGCAGTGAACCCATGCTGGGGAAATAAAATGTCTCAGCAGTGGGTAAATATGGCCTCTTCAAATACCTGACCCACCCGCGCCAACGGCTACCCTCGGGTTAGGAGATCCTGGGTGCAGTCCTAAGCGAAGAGCATCGAGGCAGCGGTGTGATTTGCATGGTTCACCTATGCACACACTGACCACAGAAACAGACCAGCCCTTCCCAGGAGACTGCTGTTCTCACAGAGCAGTTATAATCTGTTGGCATTTTCGTTGTAGGAGAGTCTCTCACTGATGATGGTGGTTTTGTGAATGGGCCCAGGGGTGGTCAATGGAGGTAGCATTAAGCGGTAAATACCAGGTTAGTGCTCTCTCTGCTGGAGAAAGACAAATCAGAGTAAGATGGGAGATTCTCCTACCAAGCTAAAATACTGCTTCCTCTTGGGGAGCAGCTCACTCACACAGTTGTGGAATTCATCAAGAATGCTGTAGGGTGACGCAGTGAGCACCTGGGGTTGGATCACTAGACTGACTCCAAGGCATGCTAATACGGGAGTTGAATTCTAAATTGTGGTTGGCAGGGGAATGAGATCTGCTTATTTCACATTCTTTTTCATGAAATGATTATCCATAAACCATGTCCCCTTCTCCTCAAGCTTGAACCAATATTTCTAATGCATTCCTGGCGTGTTTGCCATCACCTCCACATCACGCCACAGTCGCCCTCTGCACACATATAGAGCTTGACTACAAGATTGATGACTTGTGTCCTGGGTATAATATCACTGTCCTATTCGTCTCGTTCCTGGCCTTGCTGGCTCATAACCGTTGGGCTCAGTAGCCTTCAAAAGGAATCTGAGTTCCGTGTACATTTTTTGTTCCCTGTTGCTTTCTTTCCTTAGGTGGCCCCCCGCCTCCTACAGCCAGTCAGCCCGCCTCTGTGACTATCCCTGGGAGTCTTCCCTCTAGCACACCATACACCATGCCTCCGGAGCCAACCCTCTCCCAGAACCCACTCTCTATTATGATGTCTCGAATGTCCAAGTTTGCAATGCCCAGTTCCACCCCATTGTACCACGATGCCATCAAGACCGTGGCCAGCTCGGATGACGACTCCCCTCCAGCTCGTTCTCCCAACTTGCCATCAATGAATAACATGCCAGGTAAGGAAAGCAGGAAGATAAGCTACAGAGCTAGTGCCAGATGAAAAAGAACTTGCTCCAAGTGTTTTCTCAGTGGCTGCAGCCCTAAATAGGTGGCAAGTTCAAGTTGAAAATGCACCTTGTAAGTTTCAGAATTGAAGTGCTTGACCAGGAGAATGTTTTATTAGCTATTTGGGTTTTCTGTTTGTTTTGTTTTGTTTTAAAAAGGTTTCCTTTTAGTTCTGATGCTTACGGCTACAAGGGCGGGTTTTGTTTCTCTTTCGGAACCCCTGTAGCAGTACTGAAAGCAGATGTTTTGCTTCGTTTTTTGTTTTTATGTTTTGTCTTAAACACGTAATAAATACATGTTTGTTTGGAAGGCAGAGTTACAGAGAAGGAATCTTCTATCCAGTGGATCTCTCCCAGGTGGCCACAGTAGACGGGGGTGTACCAGACAAGCCAGACCATCCATCCTGGTCTCCCACGTGGGTGGCATGGGCCCGGAGAATCAGGCTGTCTGTGCTGCGTTCTCAGGAGCATAAGCACGAAGCAGGGTTAGGAGCAGGGCACCCACATCTCCATCTGGAGCTCTTGCTCGGGGAGGCTGGCTGTCAAGTTAACCCGGTGTGCCACCATGGCCACCCCGAAAAACTGCCAATTGGAAAAGATTTATTTGGTTTTCTTTCTTTATTGTTTTCTGAATAACTGAACCTATAAAACTGGTTAATCATCTTTCTGTGAAAATGATCATACCTAAGTCATTCAGGCAAATTGCTTTCTTCTGTATTAAATGTATCCAACAAAAGGACTATAGTCATGCATATTAACTTGAAACATTGAAATGGGAGAATATTCCTCTTGCTGCCTTCTGCTGCTTTCTGGGTCTGCAGTTTAAGACTGGAGCATTCACTGGCAGGTGGAGCTGCCAGTCATGTGCCACCACACACGCCCTGGGCTCACGATGGCCGGGTTTGGATGCTGTGTCTTCCCAGCATGGTACTTGCAAGTTAGAAACACAGTCCATTTTTTTTTTTTTAATTTTATTTGATGATTAGATAACTTTTCTGAGTTAGTTACTTTTTTGGTTAAGTTGCTTCCTTTGGTATCTTTGTTTTTTCTAGGAATGGGCATTAACACACAGAATCCTCGAATTTCAGGTCCCAACCCTGTGGTTCCGATGCCAACTCTCAGCCCAATGGGAATGACCCAGCCGCTTTCTCACTCCAATCAGATGCCCTCTCCTAATGCCATGGGACCTAACATACCTCCTCATGGGGTCCCCATGGGGCCTGGCTTGATGTCACACAATCCTATCATGGGGCATGGGTCCCAGGAGCCTCCAATGGTACCTCAAGGACGCATGGGTTTTCCCCAGGGCTTCCCTCCAGTGCAGTCTCCTCCACAGCAGGTTCCATTTCCTCACAATGGCCCCAGCGGAGGGCAGGGCAACTTCCCTGGAGGGATGGGTTTCCCAGGAGAAGGCCCCCTGGGCCGTCCTGGCAACCTGCCCCAAAGTTCAGCAGATGCAGCACTTTGCAAGCCTGGAGGCCCAGGCGGCCCTGACTCCTTCACTGTCCTGGGGAACAGTATGCCTTCCGTGTTTACAGACCCCGATCTGCAGGAGGTCATCCGCCCTGGAGCCACCGGCATCCCCGAGTTTGATTTGTCTCGCATTATTCCATCTGAGAAGCCTAGCCAGACACTGCAATATTTCCCTCGAGGAGAAGTTCCAGGCCGCAAACAACCACAGGGGCCTGGACCGGGGTTTTCGCACATGCAAGGGATGATGGGCGAACAGGCCCCCAGGATGGGACTCACGTTGCCTGGTATGGGAGGTCCAGGGCCAGTGGGAACTCCAGACATCCCTCTTGGTACAGCGCCATCCATGCCAGGCCACAGCCCAATGAGACCACCAGCCTTTCTTCAGCAAGGCATGATGGGACCTCACCATCGGATGATGTCACCAGCACAATCGACAATGCCTGGCCAGCCCACCCTGATGAGCAATCCAGCTGCCGCTGTGGGCATGCTTCCTGGCAAGGATCGGGGGCCTGCAGGGCTCTATACCCATCCTGGGCCTGTGGGCTCCCCAGGCATGATGATGTCCATGCAGGGTATGATGGGACCCCAACAGAACATCATGATCCCCCCGCAGATGAGGCCCCGGGGCATGGCTGCTGACGTGGGCATGGGGGGGTTCAGCCAAGGACCTGGCAACCCAGGAAACATGATGTTTTAAGCTGCTAAGATTGGATGTGCCGACCCTTGTCAAAATGAGATTCCAGGTCCTGAGAGCTGCGTGGTGTGGAGTTCCAGGAAGACTCACCATTGGTCATGCAATAGGCGAACAGAGACCCGAGGGCTGCTTTGGGGGAGGGGGGCGCTCGAGAATGTATGGATTTACCTGAAAAAAAAAATGATTCATTTAATCAACAGGTGTGGTTTTTTTTTAAGATTTATTTTTAAGAAATTATTTTTGTGGACTTGGGTATCCCATGATGGCACCTCCTTTTGGGGACCTGTAAGCCGTGCTCTGAGAATTGCCATCGGTCACGTGTTGCACCGTTCTCTGTATGTTTACGTCTTCTGGACTGGCTTCTCCCAGGATTCTTTTGTGTTTTTGATTTGGGCTTTTGTTTCTGTTTTTGTTTTTGGTGTACTGTACTATATTGTAAAAGGGATTTTAGCAGAGACTTTAGTCTGTGGGGCAGGAGGGGAGCAGCAGTGCCGTGCTGTTGACTGGAGGTGGAGAATCCATCTTCAGACCTTTGGACTATTTTCTTTCAAACTCCAGTGTATAGAAAAAAAAAAAAAAAACAAAAAAACAAAAACCAAACTACGACCTCAGAGCAGAGTATTAATGAAAAGCACAAAAAAAGGAACTAAGTTCAGCGCGGGGAGGGTGGGGAGGGGGGAAGGTTTTCTTTTTAAACATAATGAAGCTTATTTAGGACATTGGTTTCTCAGTTCAAGTGCTCTTCAGCACTTCCGTCTCCCCCCAGTGGACGAGCCCACCGTGACATTTCTCTCACATTCGCCTTTCAAACCCTGACCCAGGTCCCTGTTCAAGTGTGTTTCCTTCCCGTGTGGCACCCCGCGCCCCCACGGGTGACCCCCACTCCCGCTTCTCCTTTTCCCTTCGGCAGCTGCACTACACGGTGTGAATTTCGGGGAAAGAACTAGCGAAGCGTCGCCTCCCCGGCCCAACGATATCCAGCCCCCGCAGGGAACGGTCTGTCCTTGGGATGCTCTCTGGTCCTCCTTGCCCCTTAGTCTTCTCTCCCCTCCACATGCTCTACCCTGCCCACCTTGTCTTCTGTTCTCCTTTTATTAGGAATTGCCCCCAGTGAATTTTTATCCGTGTGGGAGTGGAACAGATGCTCAAAGCTATCCAGGATTTTGTTTTACTGTTCTCAATTTTTGTGGTCCTTCCCTCCCTTCTCCCTCCCATGCGTAAAACGTTCTGTGTAACCTCCATTAAATTTGGTACAAAACCACTCGCCAGAGCTGTGGTGTCAGAAAAATAAAATATATTGTTTCTTACAAAACTGAATTGCCTTCCCAGTTCGTTTCGTTTCTTGTTACTTCTGGATTTGGGCATGCTGGGTGTAGTGGGTCCCTGGGAGCACTGAGGTGTGGCACGGGGGCCCTCTCAGATGAAGCAGGTCCCTTCCTCATGGACCGATCCTCACTCTGTTACTGAATTCTAGTTAGGAACACAAGCACAGCTCCGACCACGGTCTCCAGATCCGAACTTGACCACTGGGGTAACTAATAGTCTTTTTTTTTTTTTAAGATTTATATATTTATTTTATGAAAAGTCAGATATACAGAGAGGAGGACCAATGGAGGAATATCTTCCAAGTATCCTCAACGGCCAGTGCTGACCCCACCCGAATCCAGAAGCCTGGAAGCCATGAGCTTTCTCTGCGTCGGTGCAGGCTCCCAAGGCCCTGGGCCATCCTCAACTGCTTTCCCAGGCCACAAGCAGGGAGCTGGATGGGAAGCGGGGCCACCAGGATTAGAACCGGCGCCCATATGGGAATCTGGCATGTGCAAGGTGAGGACTTTAGCCACTAGGCTACCGTGTTGGGCCCAGCACCTGGGGGTAACTAACGGTTTTTGCAAGGTTTTTGTCAGAGCCATTGTGGCCAGAGAGCTTCATAGTCATTTTGCTCAGCTGTGAGATGCCTTAGTTTCCCAAAGGTAAAATAGCCTTGCTGCACCTGCAAGTCAGGAGTCCCTGAAGTCCTCTGGTCTGCCGCCTGTCACCTCTCAGCTCTGCTCCGTCTGCACACAGAATGCTCCTCAACCCACTCGCCTTCAGCACAGTCATGTGTGTCTCCTGGGGGGCGGTGGAAGGGGCTGGCTGCTGTGTGTCTGTTGTTTAACTCTGTCCTCTAGGGGAGAGGGGTGTGTGTGTTTGATTTGGAGGCATTTTTAGCTGTGTGTGTGTGTGTGTGTGTGTGTGTGTGTGTGTGTGTGTGTGTGTGTGTTTGTCCTCAGGTGAGAGAATCTAAGCGAGGAACAGCAGGTGTGGAATCATTGGCAGACAATCTTGGACAAATTGGACTCTGCTGGTGTTTCACAGATTTTTACCTGTGAAAGTTGCTCTCTCTCTGATGGCTGTGTTGGAGAGTTGTTCTCTGCTGTTAGCTAGCACCTGTCTTCTCAGTCCCCTAAGAGCCTAGAACAAATGGCGGAGCCGAGCGCCGCAGCACCTCACGTCTGTGTGTGTGGTTGGTTTTGGAGATGTTGGGCATCTCATTTGCAAATGAAAAAAAAATTGAGTCACAAGTTGCAGATTCTGAATCAGCAACCATGAGAAGACTTCAAAAAGTTCTTAGAGGAAATGCAACTGCTATGAGTTTGTTTCAGTGCAACCCAAATGGTAATGCAAAAATGCTCATAATACATGGAAAACATGTGCTATGAAAAACTCACAAGGATTCATTTGCACCCTACACCAAAAAACTTTTATTCCCATTCCCAGCTCCCCTTTTCCCCCCTAGATTTGGAAGGTAAAAATGTTACCTTGTGGAGCAGCTAGCATAGTAAAATGAAATTTTGCTTCAAGGATTTAATCATATTCCTGTTTCTGGGTTTGGATTCCATAGAAGAGGACAGAGTGATCGCCAATTTTGGGGAGCATGAGACCAGAGCCTTAAAAAAAGGTAGGGGCCTGGCATATGTTCACTGCTGCACCTACCCACTGTGCTCCCGTATGGCTACTCTCCCAGGCAAGTATTCAAGACAATGAAGAGATTCACAGCAGGTGGCTGGAGGGCAGGTGGATCCCTGAGCACAGAGGAAGGCTGGGATGCAGCGTGCCTCTCCCGCGGCCCCCTGCTGGAGATCTTGGAGCAGTGCAAAACAACTTTGTCAAACTGATTTTTTGTTAAGATTGCCATCATAAATCTTCATTCATTTACTTTGTCAGTGTATGCCAACGTTTCATCATGATAACCTTTGATACACCAAGTTTACTTGGGGGTTTGGCCATCTTATAATTTATTAGATTGTTAATGAAACCAAGTCACAATTTTGAGAGGGGATGCAATGCTATGCAGATCCAATAATGTGAGATGTTTTAAAAAAGGAACTATCAGGGCCCAGCTAAAGTCCTTGCCTTGAATGCACTGGGATCCTATATGGGCACTGATTCTAATCCTGGCAGCCCCAGGTCCCATCCAGCTTCCTGCTTGTCATCTGGGAAAGCAGTCGAAGACGGCCCAAGGCCTTGGAACCCTGCACCTGTGTGGGAAACCTGGAAGAGGTCCTGGCTTTGGATCGACTCAACTCTCTGGCTGTTGTGGCCACTTGGGGAAGAGAATCAATGGACAGAAATCTTCCTCCCTCCTCCTCTCTCTATATATCACTTTCCAATAATAAAATAAAATAAATCTGAGCAAAAACAAAAACAAGAGATATCACAGCAGCACTGCAGTGAGGTGAGGCTCAGTCTCTGAATTGGATCTTTTTCCTGAACCAGAGGCTGTGGGCCTGCCAGCAGGTTGGTTGCTGTGTTCTGTTTAAACTGCCTCCATTTGAGCAATTTCTACTTCCTTTCCAAGTGCTTGCTTGCTTTAAAAAAAGATTTATTAATTTCTTTATTTGGAAGGCAGATTTACAAAGAAGAGAGAGCGATCTTCATCTGCTGGTTCTCTCCTAAAATGGTTATACCAGTTGGAGCTGAGCAGATCTGAAGCCAGGAGCCAAGGAGCTTCTTCCAACTCTCCCACATGGGTCCAGGGACCCAATGACTTGTGCCATCCTCCGCTGCTCTCCCAGACCATAAGCAAGGAGCTGGATGGGACAATGAGCAGCCAGGATATGAACCAGCACTTATATGGGATGCCAGGACTTGCAAGACAGAGAATCAGCCTTTGAGCCATTGTGTCAGCTCCTCCAAGTGTTTTCAAAGTGCTGAAAGGCAAAAGGGAATATAGGTGTACCCCGACAACTCATCTATTCAGTAAAGAGGACCCACTGCATGGCACCCTGCCAGCCTTGTCAGTGCACACCATGAGACCATATGAGGATGGCTACAATGAAGGTATGATAGGCCAAAGAGGAACAAGGATGCCTCCGGGGAAAAGCAGGGACTTTTTTGAGGATGCTGTTGAGCCAGGGTGGGGATCCTTTTTTCTGCCAAGGGCCCTTTGGATATTTGTAACATCACTCAGGGGCCTTGCAAAATTATCGGCCTAGAAAAATGAGCCTCTTGAACGTTTATTGAATTTCAACTCCCACAACCAGTTGCTTTGACAGGGCTGGACCAAATGATTCTGAAAGCCTTCTATGGCCCACGGGCTGGATGTGCCCCAGCCCCGAGGAGAAGTGGGAACTGCCAGGGTCTCCCTAAGAGGATGGGCTCTCAAAGAGGCAGATGGAACAAGTGAGCCTAGAGAGACTGGTCTGCCCTGGAAAACCTGCTGCGGCGCACTAACTCGTGTGTGGGTGCAGGGTCGAAGCACTGGGACCACCTTCGGCTGCTTTCCAGGCATGTTAGTAGGAAGCTAGATCAGGAGTGGAGCTACTGGGACACAAACGGACACCAATATGCTGGTGCCACAGGGAGGAGAATTAGCCTACTGCTCCACTGCATTGGCCCCTCTCAAACTTTTAAAAATATTTAAAATTTTCTCATTTAACATGGCTTCTTATTTTAGGTTACCATTAAACAGATACAACATAGTTTCTTCTTCTTCTTCTTGTAAACATTTATTTGAAAGAGTGACAGAGAGAGGGAGAGTGAGATCTTCCATCTGCTGGTTTACTCTCCAGATGTTTGCATCCCCAGCTGGTGTCAGGGGCCAAGGACTTCTTCCAGGTCTCCCACATAGGTTGAGGGGCCCAAGCACTATGAGCCATCTTCTGCTGCTTTCTCAAGATCATTAACCAAGAACTGGATCAGAAGTGAAGCATCTGGGACTCAAACTGGCATCCATACGTGGTGCTCAGCATCAGCTTAACCAGCCACACTTTGTTTCTGGCTGCAGCACAGTACAATTTCTGTTTAAAGGTGAGCATGCGTCAGCTGTTAACTATCTGGCTCAGCGCTTGATTGTGTGTAGCAACCAACACTGCTAGAAGGTTAATGTATGAGTCCAATGAAGTAGCCTAGTGGCTTAAGTCCTCACCTTGCACACCCCGGGATCCCACATGGGCACTGGTTCATGTCCTGGCAGCGTCACTTCCCATCCAGCTCCTTGCTTGTGGCCTGGGAAAGCAGTCAAGGACAGCCCAAAGCCTTGGGACCCTGCACCCGCGTGGGAGACCTGGAAGAAGTTCCTGGCTCCTGGCTTTGGTTCAGCTAGTGAACCAGCGGATGGAAGACCTCTCTTCTTCACTCTGTATATCTGACTTTCCAATAAATCTTACAAAAAAAATAACAATAAGTGGTGCTCATGCCAGTCTGACTCACTTTCTTGAAAAAAAAAAAAGGTGAGTATAAGTGAACCACGGAGAACATAGAGAAGGTTCAGACATTATTTCCTGACTAATATTAAGCAAAGAACATTTCAGTTGTTTTTATCAAGCACAGGAATACTCCGGCTTCCCTTGTCAAATTCTCCCTCAGTACCCCATGCAGCTACGAGGATTCCAGAACCCAGCCCTAGGTCAGCACGTGTCTTCACTAGCTCCCTGTGGGTCCTCCTACCTTGCAACCTACAGCAAGGCTGATCATCCCCTCCGTCTGCAAACAAGCACTTGGACAGCGGCCCCCAGCCTGGCATAGCCACTCTGTCCACTGCCGGGCTGAGTGTGGAAACAGCTCCCGCATCATAATAGCATCCCACGTCCAGTTACTGTTGAGGGTAGCTTTAAGGCTTTAAGATTTTTGTTTTCTGCTAGAGCCAAAGTCCCTTGTGGTACAACTTCTGGGAGCCTGGGTTTATTTCTCATCTTTACCAGGTTGCTAGGGGATTTCATTTTCCTTGTTTCCCATATGGAAACTCCACATTTACCCCATAAGCATCTTCCCCTCTCCCACAGATAACCTGTGAGCTCAGCACATGCTTTCAGATGCTGGTGAAGAACTCCGGAGTC